GCTCCCATCGTCACTGATGGGCTCAGCTTTGGCCAGCAGCAGGTCCAGCTTGGTGCCGGCTAGCACTGGCTCTGTCTGACAGAGGGGAAGCTTCTAGCAGCTTCTCCCAGAAGCCACCCCTGCAGCCCCTCCACTACCAAAACCTTGCCATGCAAACCCCGTACAAACTGTGGTCTCCCTTTGAATCTTAACCTGTCTTGCTTCATGATTCTGAATTACACACCGTTACTGGGTTGTAATGACCTGTTTCTACAGCTCTTAGATACTTTGCTGGGTACTCTGGTAAAGGAATTACAAAACAAGTATACACCAGGACGCAGAGAAGAAGCTATTGCTGTTACAATGAGATTCCTGCGTTCTGTGGCAAGAGTGTTTGTCATTCTTAGTGTGGAAATGGCTTCCTCCAAAAAGAAAAAGTAAGTGTGTGTGTGTGCACACGTGCGGGGTGTTGGCCGTCTTTTTTTTTTTAATTTAAATATTTATTTTCTTATTAATTGAGTTGATACACATCAACAATAGGCAGAAATGTCTGAATAATTCAATTTTCAGTCTGTAGGCAGCATTGTGTGGAAAGGTACAAATCTCAAGATTGCACGATAGCTGCTGGTATGTCATATAGCTTTTTAATACCACGCTTGTTAAACTTACATGCTCATACTGAACCTTCCTGTTTAAAATGTTAGGATTTTTGGAAGTAGGGTTTTTAACGTGAAAAATACAATCTGTGCTTGTTTGTCAGTAATGGATTTACATATTCAGCCTTAGTCTTGAATTATTGAATGATAAATGTTTTTAACTGACTTGAATAACTGTGCATATTGTTACTATACACCCACAAATGTATGTGTCTGTTTAAGATAATTGTCTTGACTTTTGAGGGGGAAGATAAGACATATTTGACCTTTATTTTCCTATATTTTTTTCCTCTAGCAATTTTATTCCACAGCCGATTGGAAAATGTAAACGTGTATTCCAGGCGTTATTGCCCTATGCTGTTGAAGAGTTGTGCAATGTAGCAGAATCTCTAATTATTCCAGTCAGGATGGGAATTGCACGTCCTACAGCACCCTTTACTCTTGCTAGCACTAGTATAGATGCCATGCAGGGAAGTGAAGAACTGTTTTCTGTGGAGCCGCTGCCACCCAGACCATCATCTGACCAGTCTAGCAGGTAAAGTTCTCTAAAGTTCATTCATTTTTCAAATTCATTCTTTTCAAAGACTTTTTAAAGGTGGTTTTGTTTTGGATTGTTGTTGTTAGCTTTTCATTAATGGAAGTATTGTGAGGCTTCTTGTTCTGGCCAAGCATTTTGGAAGTACTTTCTTACTGACAGATTTCTGCAGTAGTTTAGGTTCATAGTAACGTCCAGAGGTCCAAATCTACTTTTATGGTTTTGTTTTTTGTTAAAGTTCTAGTCAATCTCAGTCATCCTACATCATAAGGAATCCTCAGCAAAGACGAATCAGCCAGTCACAACCAGTTCGTGGCAGGGATGAAGAACAAGATGATATCGTTTCAGCGGATGTGGAAGAGGTCAGTTTTCTTTTTTGTATTTTTTTTTCCCTTTTCAGTATGGCATTTAATGCGCTAGCACATGCTTTAACCTCTGAACCAGAAATCCATGCATCAAGATGGCCAATTTGCAAAAGATACTGAGTAGTACTTCATGAAGCCCTACCATACCATAAACATTTTGTTTTAACAGAGCTTTGTAATCATTGTTTTATATTCAGCAATATTTAGTCATTTCAGAGTATACTAACTGCCTTGCATTTGACAGAACTACAGTATGATTTAGTGTACTAATAAATACATCTGTCACTTCCTTTATATGTATGTTTATGCTATATTATAACTCCCTGTTAAAAAAGTTTTTAAGTCTTTCAGGACACAGTTGCTGTTACGTAGGTTCTATTAGAGAACTAGAGGGTCTTTTACCAGAATCACAGAATCACTAAGGTTGGAAA